GTAGTAGTAGTAGCAGAAGAAGTAGACAGTAGTAAGTAGTAGTATGTTGTAGTAAGTCTAGTAAGTAGTAGTAGTTAGAACATAGTAAGTAGTAAGTAGAAACAAGGATGTAGCAAGGAGTAAGGAGAAAGTAGTAAGTAGAAAGTAGCAAGTAGCAGATTTAGTAAGAAGCAGTACTAGTAGTCGGCGGCAGCGTCGTCATCATGGTAAGGTGGCAATGGTAGCGGCTGGTAGCGGTACAGTGGTCCCGTAGCAGCTGGTGGTTGTGGTTGTCGCTGTTGTCGCCATGGTGGCGGTCCTGTCTTCGTTTGGAAACGGAAATGTTACAAAGTGGTCGCTCATCATTCGAAACGAGAAGCCGCCTAGAACGAGTACAGTAGTTGTCGTAGCAGTAGACATAGCGTTCCGGATCGAGGTGGAGGGAGAGCAGGCGCCGCCGTGTGCAGAGTTGCATCATGCCCGCACGGCATAATCTTGGGCACTGCGCAACTACACCAGGAAGTCATTGTTGCTGAGGCCGATGGCGCCACATTCCAATCCTGAAATCCGGCAGAGCATCCGATTGCGCCGAAAATAGGAACGTTGAACTCAGAGCTCCTGTTCTTTCTTGGGCTACAAGCAGGAAAGGGAAGGGCTGCCGCCGTCTTTGAGCCCTGTAGTAACTATAGTCAGCCTGGGTAAAGAAATAATGCAAAGGCCTCTTCTTCACGCTTCGCTGGAAGCACCTGTCAGGATGATCAAGCCCGAGCTGCAACACAGCAAATGGTGAAGTGTCTGGAGGCCACTTCCTATGCGAGCCTCTTCGGTGAGTGTGCGACTGCTGCAGCAAGAGACGGTAGTTTTGTAAGCGAGCCCCTCCCGCTAAGATTGGGACAGGAGATGTGGGAGCGTCGAGAAGCTCTGGGAAGAGAGAGGAAGTATGCCCTCTCACAGTGGCTCTGCCGAATCGAGGGGCCAATGCCGACTTGCCAGCCGCGTACGAACGTTGCATTGGACCTTGAGTCCATGCTTCGTTGACAGCTGTAGACATACGAGAGAGCAGCTCATGGCTCCCTAGAGACCCGTGTTTCGACGGGGCGTTTGCTTCACGAGGTCCGTGCCTCGTGTGGGCATCTTTTTCAAGCTGAGGACGAACCGCTTTCACAAGGCCTTCGACAAGTTCCAGACTCAGAGCCGGAACGGCAGGTTGTTGGCAGCTTCTCTATGTTGAGAACCTTGGGACATTTGCTGACTGAGCCTGGGTTCTGCGGTACAGAAGTCTACTGAATCTGAGTAGAAACAGCTTCAGAATGCCGAGTCTTGCAGCGAGGTTGCTGGTGGCCATGATGTCTGAAAACTCGAGCCTTGGCTTGATTCCTCTCACTGCGCAGGCGACCTTAACTTTGGCCTTAGGATGCCGAAGCGTATACTCGTAAACGCGAACAGAGACCGTTCACTGTTGGGGTTAGGGCTCAAGAAGCTTGAATGGGGTCCAGTTCTTGCCCTTCCCCCTGAAACTTCCTTGGCTGCCTTTGCCATGGGGGTCTCGCAACCGCCAAGGTGAAAATCAGCCAGGGTGTGCCGAACAACTCGGTGCACGACAGATTCCGGTCTGTTGGCTCTGGCTAGCTTTGAGGGTTTCCTTTTCTCGCATCTGACAAGGCAGACGCCGGCCCCGGATTTCATGCAATTGGAAGGTTTTTTTCTGGATGTTCTTCTGCAATGGAACCGGCAGCAGCCGAGCAGATCGGGGCGTGAATTTGCGATGGAAGGAAAGGGTTTGGTGAGGATTCGAGGTATTCATCCTCTCAAGCTTTCTGGAAGCACTCCACAAGAGTGGAGTGTTCTGCATGGCTAGGACGGCTAGGATTAGGTGGGTGAGTCCGTGCGGCTTCTCCTAAGGAGCACGCTGCACTTCGCAGAGCTGAATTCAGCGGCAGAAATTTACCGACTTTTTTCTGCGTTGCCTGTCGTACACAATGCTTCTGCATCTTAAGCACATCTCGAAGTCAGGAAGCTATGACGCTGTTTGGAGACTCATTTTGATCTAGCTGAGAAGCTGGCTGCACACAGCCGAGCCACCTGTGGTGATATTTTTCTCGCTGAAGTTGTATTGATGCATGAACGGACGCAGAGGTCTTGCTCCACAGCTTGAGCAACTTGTCAGGTGCTACATCCTAGTTGCGCGAAATTGCACCAACTACCAGTGCCCGTGGCCTTTTCAGTTGCACCCCCTTCAAAAAGGGTCGCTGTAGGTGCAGGGACGGACCTCTCTCGATTATTGTCCAACGGTTTGGCTTCAGAGCAAAACCCGGCTACCTGAGGCGGACCGGTCCTTCCGCGTTTCACATGTGCAAATCCGACCCAACTCTCAGATGGGTCTCCCCACGACACCATGATGACAGCAGTCCCTGCTTAGAGAATCCGTAGCCTTCAACCGGGGGAGATTCCTGCTGAACGGCCTCAAAATCGAGCCATCAGCTCTGAAAGCAGAACACCTGCGCTAGTGAGAGACTTTGAGAACGCCTCGGGTCGGTTTTACCATCCCTTGCGCAGGGCTAGAAGAGCAAGGAGCCCAGAGAGCGCTCATTGTTTTTTGTTACGAAATAAGACCGGTGGCAGCCCGGTTAGACTTGACCTTAAGCCTGGTGGAATCTTGATGCAGCTCGTCGCAATGACGAGATTAGACTAGACATGACCAGACCGTACCGTACACGACTACACGTTACTAAACCATAAGTTATAATAAGCCATAAGAAACGATACCATACTATCCTATGCTGGTGGATGTCTGTGTGGGGGACCGGGCTGGTCCGGCAAGTCTCTACCGGGCGGGCTGTACACATCCCAGCGGCGGCGAGCCTGACAGTGCCTGACAGCCTTCACAAGAGCAAAATATCAAGATTGAGGGAAGGGGGTGGGAGGACCTCTCCGAATAAGGTCCCACTTGCCTAATCTGCCCTTCTGTAGCCGGAGGCAGAGAAGTGGATCCTGGATGGATCTGTGGGGCCTGGGCCGGCAGCCTACGCACCCAACCATGGAGCCGGCAGCCAAGCGCTGGGGGCTGGAGGTTGCAGTGCGGTTGCAGGTGAGTTCTGGAGGGTAGCTCGAATGATCCTATCGGAGTCCTATTCACGGCAACTTTTCCAGAAGTCGGGTCGACATGGGCACGCGAGCTCGCAGCTGGCGCCTCCAGACTGAGGCTAGGTTGTAGCATTTCGTACAGAAGGAGGGTCATGGCAAACAGCGTAGGTGCTTTTGGGCCCAGCTCTGCTGGCTCCGAGGTCGTTCAGAGGGGCTCGCCGGCCTACTCGACGGCCGGGCTCTGGACATTAGAAGGCTCAAGGCAAGCGACGTCGACTTGCAACTTTCCATTGCAGGCTGGGCGGGGCAAGGACAAATCGCGTTCGATGGGACCTGGTGCCGGCCTTGGTCGGAAAAAGCACAGATCTGCAATTGCCGATGCCCAGCTCTGCCCTCTCAGATTTCTCAGTGTTGAGGCCCCGGTCACTATGGCCCTCCGCGAAGCACATTGAGGGGCAAAGTCGGAAGGCCAACGGGCCCACTCTTCTATCTTGCTGTGGAAGTAGCGAAGTGCCCGCTGAAGGTGGGGCGATTCTCCCAATTTGCGACCCAAGAGCGCTCCCTTCGACGACGGCAACGGCCGAAGTCCAGGCATCACCGGCGCTCCTTCACCGATGGCGGTCGTGTTCGAGCAGTGCAGGCCCCAACTACATGCCTGGAGAGGGACCTCATGGACCGCGCTACAGCATCGGAGCTCGACGGGAGGCGGGGGCGGGAAGGGCAGAGCTTGGCCAACACCACGCTGAAAGCACAACGGCCAAGCCTGTCACTGCGATGCACTGGCACTGGCAGAGACCAGCCTTCCTTGCCTTTGCCTGAGGCTGCCAGGCTCATGCTGGGCAGGTTGCCAGGACCAAGGACTCAGTCGGCAACTGAATGATTTCCATATTGTCCTGTGTGCGAGAGAGAGAGCGAGAGAGAGAGAGGGCTCCATAACAAATGGGGGGCCCTAGTGGCCGGGGGGCTTAAATCGCCTCCCATGCCCTGGCGAAGAAGAGGGCTCTGTAGAGTGGAGTAGTTCTTCTGTCAAAATGATGGATGAGGTAGCGCCTTGGAGCGCGGGGTAGCAGGACTGCTGCTGCCTCACACCCTTAGCAAAGCAAAGCCAAGAGAGAGGGCTCACACCCCAAGCAAGCAAGCAAGCAAGCAAGAGAGAGAGAGAGAGAGTTCAGACAGACCGGAGCGCGCCGCGTGGGGTAGGCCGAGGGGTTGTCCGCAACCCCTGAACCCCCGGCACGCAAGCAAGCAATAGAGACTGGGGAAGAAGACCGACCTTTAATGCAGATGATGTGACCTGGGGCAGTAGTGAAGAAGCAGCCGCCCAGGTTTGGCTACTGAGATTACCTGAGGTGTGCGGAGTTACAAATAGGAAAGCCATCGAGACCTTTGATGTGCTGGAGTAATTCAGTTGCACCGAATTGGGAGTTGAAGCTGCTGACGGCACCAGTTTGGCGATGCGTCACGGGTAGCACGAGCACGCCCAAATTCAAGCCTCATGGTCTACATTGACCAAGGCGTGGCGAGCTCAATGTTAGGCTAAATTGGGACTTCCTCTGGTGTTCTTGAGATGATAGCGAAAGAGGCGGCCCGTCCAGTGAAACTGATCGTGGCTGTCCGGTTTCATGAGCGACTGATCCGGAACGTGATTCAGAAAAATTGCGCGGCACGTGCGTGGCGTTCTTATCGAGGTTGCAAGCGAGCTGATTTGATGGTGCCAGGGGATTAGAGTCGATTAGAGCGAATGAGACCTATGCAAGCATAGAGCCAACAGTAGCGAGAGCAATATCAACAGTCGGCCGGCAGAAGCACGACATGTCACACACGGACACTGGGAGCATCAGCAGAGCAACACGCATCGAAGAACCCAACTGTAGATGGCGGTAATGGGTCCTTCCTCCCAATGTTCGATTTCGACGAGATTGAGGCGCTGCCCTGGAGCTCGGTAACTTAATATGCCCAGCCGAGGCTTGAATTCTGAGTGGCTTTACGGGTTCACGTTTCACGAGTGCAGGTTTCGGTTTCAGGGCTCAGAAGGGGACCCGGCAGGAGAAGCTGCAGCAGCAAGCAGCTGCTTCTAATCCTGCTGCGCCCTCAGTCAAAAGCGACAGCCCGCAGAAGCCGGTCATGCTTGTGGTGCGGCAGGGTGCGGCCTTGCTTGTCCAGTCCCTTCTGTTTGTCGCACAAGTTGTTCCCACAGTACTCGAACGAAGGCCCATGCCCCCTCCATTGATGGTGAGTGGGAGGACAACGATGGTACCGTGGCTTGCGGCCTACCACATGGTGTCTTAGACGTCATGGAACCGGAGAAGTTTCATCGCAAGCTGCGCCTTCAGGTCATCATCAAGAACCGGCGCATGCGCGGCCCAGATGGAGTCGAAGTGGAGGCGACCTCGGGGCCACGCTATGGCTCCAAGCCGCAGTTTGGGCAAGACAAGGTGACCTTCCCCCGGCCGGATGCGGTCGTGTTCACGCCCAGCCCCGGCTTGCATGCTCAGCTTTGCTGCGTTGCGTGACCTTGGCATGGAGTGCCAGCACAAGGCATTCAATTTCAAGAGCAAACTCCGCATCCCTAGTAGTCCTGAGGTGCTCCGAGCTTTGAGGGCAAGCTGACGGCGTCCGACAGGATCACCCGGCGAAGATGTGGTGAGCCAAGCGTCCAGTTCTGTGTGGACACTGCAGGATCTCCTGGGATGATGGTGCCTCCTGGGTGAGCGCCTTGCGAAGCCGTGGCCGATATTTGGAAGCGGTGGCCGGGCCCGAGCCGAGGTCAGACGGCCCTTGTCGGCGAAAGCGCAAACAGATCAAAACGGCAGCCGCTTGGCCTCTCCGACTCCAAAGACCAAGGCAGCACTGGCAGTTGTCTCCTTTAGAGGTGGTGCCAATGCAGCATCCAACAAAGCCGCCGGAACTCCTGTGCACCAGCCGGAGCCTCACACAGAAACCGGTCTCTGCCAAGAAAGTGCGGCGGTGTCCAAGTGTCGTGAACTGACTGACTTGATCTCAGAACAAAGACTTTGGGCGGCGAAAAGGAGAATCTGGCCGCGAAGGCAGGGCCTGCCATCCCATCTGATCCCATGTTATGAACCTTTGGTGTCTGGCCTGTATTCGGCATCGAGTAGTTTCCTGCTTTGCACAGCGCTAGGCTGCAGTTCCGGAGAAGCCAAACAGCAAGCTTCATGACAGCCGTGGCCTCTGTGCGGCTTTTTTTTCTCCCTTGTGGCTCCTCAACCTTCCAATTGGGAGGCAGCAGCTCCGCTCCCCAAAGCAAGCTCCCGAGGCAAAGACACCCTGCTCTGTCGTCTCTGACTTATATAATATAATATAATACAATATAATAGAATGTAATACAGTATAATGTAATATAATGTAATGAAATATAATATGATGTGATATAATATTGTGCTGTGCCATGGCAGGGCCGAGCCCTCGAAGTCCACCGCCCGGATCCCGCGGGCTGCGCAGCTCAGACAAAGGGCTTTTGCAGAGCTGGCCTGGAGTGAGTCAAAGCGCGTGAGATCGCCTGTGCAACAGGGAGTGGGGAGAAGAAGCCCAACCCAACATAAACACCCCAACTGAGCTGTTACTGTTTGCAGCTTTAGACCTCGTCGTTTCATCGAGGTCGACGACTCAGCAGGCACAAGTAAGCCAAGTAAGCCCTCTTCGGGCTACAGCTCTTCGCGTACCCCCACCACGGACAAGAAGGCCAGCTGTTGACAATTGTGATGGTTAAGCGTGACAGAAAGGGGTGACGAATTGACTTCGACCTCAAGTGAAACACTCCAACTCTAGTCGAAGACGTGGTGGTAGCCTCAGACAAGCATGCCCTGTGGCTAGGCCTTTCTGGCCCTAAAAGCCTGTTGAATGTAGTAGTCTGGGTTTCATGTTCTCTATCTGTTCCCGACTGTGTAAATGAGAATCACCCACAAAAGCTAGTGGCATAAGAGGTTCCTTGTCCTGCTTGCCTTCGCTGATCTGCTACGGCTACCCGGCTTAGGATCGTCATTTGCTTGCGACAGGCCGCCACGAATAGCAGTGGCGAAGCTGGCCGCGATTCAGCCTGGCACTACGAGCGCTTTGAGGCAGACGGGCAGCCCGCCCGGCGTCCCTAAAGAGAGACGTAAGTGCTGAAAGAGAGACGTAAGGGACGTAGGTCTCCTGACCGTAGGTAACGAAACCCATCGTCTTCGTCCGGGAAAGCCCCGGCCTGAACACGGCGAAGGTTGCCCAGGCCGGGGGCAAAGAGCTTAGCCCTTCTGAAGGCGCGAAATGATATGCGAACGGGTTCTGCAGGTGACACGAGGCGCCTCAGACGTTCTGGAGCTTCCCCGTTTCACCTGTGTGCACGTGTGATGGGTGTTGGAAGGCTGCGTGGTCTCTGGACGGGTGCAAGAGACAGGGTGGCTCTGTCCAAGCCTTGTTCTTCTTCCTGTTGCGACTCGACAGTTCCGCTGACGACATGTCCTGCGAGGCTTGGATCAAGACAGCCGTGCGTCCGCAAATGCCTGGAGCACACAGTTTTGTCGCTGGCGAGTCGAGCACAGAACCATTGAAGCCACTCCTGCCTTTTCAGGTGCCCGAGCATGCCAAGGGCGCGTACATGCTCATTGATGGCAGAAATCATGGGTGCCTTGCCTGCACTTGGCAGTATTTGACGCTGTGATTTTCGTGTAGATCTGGACCAGGGATGATTGATCTTCTCTAAGCCAGTATTTCCGAGTTTCCGAGGAGGGAAGCCGGGATGCATGAAAATGACAGATGCAGGCGGTCACGGAAACAGATGTAACATGGACATCCTGAATGTAGCCTGACGATTACAAGCCAGAAGTCGGGGGTGGGAGCTCGGAGACGTATGATTGGGCTCTTGACCGAAGAATCTACAGGGTTGACCCCGAAAGCCGAAAGTCGACTCCGAGTGCTGTGCGCCAGAACAGGACGCGCTTTCAGTTTCATGTGCGGATTGCCGTAGCTCCCCATCATATCGGAAAGGTCGGTGCTGTCTGATTACCGTTGAGTGCGGGAGGGCTTGAATCACGTTTGGAGAGACAGGCCCTGAGAGAGGGTGCAGGGACAAAGGCCCACCCTAGGCCCTCGGGCCCTCCATCTCAATCAAGTCTCTAGATTTCCTTCATGGGATGCAATCTCGTTCAAAAAGCTTCTCCTATCTTCGATGAGAGGAGGCGGGGGCGTCACAGATTCCCATTGTTAATGCACAGTGCTTGGATTTGACTTTTGGTCGTAGGTGGCGCCGGGACGAGTTAAGGGCCGCTGGGTTGACTTACCAGTAGCAAGGATAGCGTTGCGGGCTCAGCCGAGGCTTGGCATACTCCTGGAGTCGCAGAGGGCCCAGTCAGAGAGCATCTTCAAGGGCTAAATAAACATAAGGGCCAGGTGACGCGGATTTTTTTTGAACTAAATGAACATAAGGGCCAGGTGACGCGGATTTTTTGAAAAAGTGGGGCCTTTTCCTTTCATATTCCTTAAAACTTAGCTTAGGAGCCTTCGGGTGCCGAGGCGCGGCTGCCAGGGCAGCTCCAAGGGCTCCTTCGCTTCGCCCCTGGAGCTCCTGGCTCAGAGACCTCACGCAGACGTCCTGAGGGTGGGTCGCATTTTTTTGTTCCATGGAAGCGGCACACTTTGGAGGTTTCTGGCGCTGAGAAACCTCCAAGTGAGAGCCCGGCGGGGACTTGAGACGCCTGAGCCCGGCCTCCTGTCCTAGCCGTGCTGGCCTTGTGCCAAGGCCGAGCCTCAGTTCTCCCTCGACAGGGCATGTGGCTTGCCACTCAGGTCTTTGCAGTGGCATGAAAAATCTACCAGAAAGGAACCCAGTGCAAGCTGCCAGGCTGAAGGCTCACAGGTGCAAGGTTATCCTGGTGCCCAGGACCCAGCTTTGGTGGGCTCCACCAGAAAAAACGGGCTCTAGCACTCAGTGGGCGCTCCGAGGCTGAATCCTGGCTGGAGTTGGAGGGTGGCGGCTTCCTGCCGATCGTGCCCAGAGCCTCGGAGACGAAAGGGCGTCGCCCTTGCTTTGCAGCTCCTGGTGCCCAGGGACAAGACCGCCTCCGCCAATTCCGAAAGCCAGGACTCAATGCATGGAGAACGGGAGTTAACCTACCGGGACCTATGTGATCGACAAAAGCAATTTCGGGCGCAGGGTTTGGCTGGGATTTGCGGGGCCCCCACTCTAAAGAGAAGCCACTGCAGCGGTAGTGGTGTCGGTCCAGCCAATGTCTAGAAATGAGAGCGGCGCTCTTCAAGAGATTCAGCTCTCTCTGGATGCAGTCTTGGAGCTCTGTCACGGGCCGCCCCGACACGACACCTTGACACTGTTTTCGGGTGGCGCGCCGGGTGTCGATGCTGCATTTGATGCTGCCATGGCTCGATTTGCGCCGTTCGGCCAGTGCATACACTGGTCGTTTGCTCAGCACCGTGATTTTGCTACCAGGCCGGGTGGGCGAGTAGACGTGCCAGACACGGTTGCGGCAGCTCTATGCGATCCTCATTTGCGGGCCGCAGCAACGGAGCTTCGCCAACACGTGCCCTCAAGCAAGAACCGGCAAGTGCTGGCGCTGTTTCGCCGTAATGTGTTTCAGGCATTGTGGGCTGAGGCTATGTTTGCAGTGACTTGGGAGGACTTGGATGCCACTTACCCCTTGCGAATTGGTGGGGGAACGAAGTGGGCTGCGCAAGTCTACGTGAATCGCTTTCAGCCGCGTGGGCCGGAACCCGCAGAGTCCTGCCGTTTGTGGCTCTATGAAGTAAATTCTGCTGAATGGAGGAAGTGGGACTGCAGTTCTATGTCTTGGAATCGCATCGCAGCACCACCTGCACTTTCGGAAAACATGAAATTCGCTGGGATTGGCACGAAAACTCCCCCAGGCCACGCGGTTCTTGCCATACAAAGCTTGTTCCGAGAAGTGGGTTGTGGCGGATCCCCGTGCTCAGCGCAGACGGATACTGCAAGTCGCTTTGAACTACCCGGTGTGTGGGAACAGACGGCAGGGCCCAGAGAAGTGGTCCGCCGCTGGCGGCCAAAGCAAACAGCCCATGCTCACCGGCGGGGTCAGTCAGGGAGTACATGACGAGCTGACAGGTCAGACGTCCTGAACACGTGTACAGTGTACAGCAACAGGACTCTCAGACAGCACAGTGGCAAAGCAGGAGATGTCAGGATACGTTACTGACATGCACATGTGCATTTGTTTGCAGGCCTCTTCGTGCACAGGTCAGCTTTGGAGGGGTTGTTGCTAGTGCAGGTAGGGAGCGATCTCATGTTGGGCTGAAAGCTTCGGAACAACAACCGCCCCGAATGCATCCTGGTCACAAGCTATCTGTGACACCCCATGTATGCCTCGGCGTCAGGACTGCTTGCAGCTGCAGGGCGTCACTGACCCGATGCCCGAATACAGTGAGCGAGTCTGTGGCGTTTGAGACTTCAGGCGCTCCAGGCAGCGGTGCCACAGACATTTGCGGAGGCTGTCGTTGCCAGGCACCGGGTTGAGACTGTCTTGCTGGCTCTTTGCATCGACGGTCGCGGTAGAGGTGGGAGCCGCTCCCGGCCGCTGCAGCAACGCGAGTCGAGTACAGCCAGCTGACTCGAGAGACCATGCAGAGACATCGGTGTTTTCTCGGGGGTTTGGCTTTTCTTTGCCACTTTGCCAAGGCCTGGAGTGGCAAGATGCCCAAGAGCCGGACCGCCATGGTCGTGTGCCACTCTCATCCTCAAAGCATGCTGAACATGCTAGGCTAGTGACTAGTAGTTGAGGTGTGGTAAACCGGATCTCCGAGATCACTGAAAGGTCAGCTTCTCCAGGAAGTGCCAGGCACATGTTCGGTCTCTCCCACCTTCCACCACGTGGGATCCAAAGTTGTGTTGCTGTGATCGGTTGAGCGGTCTCGTGGCACCAGATTGCGCAACATGAGGATTCAGCTTCGAGTCGTGTCTCGAGTTTTCGCAGTCGGCTTACCAAACGGTGTAAGGTTCAGTAAGTGAGAAATCGGGGGGGGCAATCGATGAAACCGAGGCCCCGCTTCCCGGAGGAAACCCGGGAGCCAAAGGCAAGGAGGACCCGGCGTCTCGGTCATGGCAGGACGGCTTGCACGGCAGAAGCTAGGTAAAGGCAGTCTAAAAATGGTTACACCTGAGTCACCTAAGGACCCCAAGACTAAATCTCGGACGCTGTGAGCCATGCCTGCCTTGCGAGTGTGTGAGTCGAAAAAGGACCGCAACTCTCGTAACACGGAGACCTCTATTTATCAGCAAGTCAATAATACCAATATTCATCATCATGTACATGATCGTACATGGCGCGTCTAAAACACACAAATGTCAAGCACATGAAAGAAGAACAGCAGCGGAATAAGCACAAGTCGCTGCCTGCGTGGTATGACAATCCTCTGGAGTTACGAGGTCCTTGACCGAGCAACCTTGCAGCCATGTCGTGTGCGTCAATGACAGTGTCAGGATCATCGCCTAGTCGGTCGGTGGCTCTACGGTGCTTCAGTCTCAGACCTGCACGGATCTGGCTGGATGCGGAAGTAAGTCTAGAGTCTACAGTGTGACAGGTTCAGTCAGTTCCCAGGTCACATGACCGTAACGTTTCGTAGAGGTAACAGCATGTAATGGCTATGGTCGGAAGAAAACCATGAGTATGCCTGTGAGTTACGCAAGTGACCGTTGCTAAGCCGCCCAGAGCCTAATGATGACCTCAAGTGTCATACGAATGAGATCACCGGTGCAGTTGCTTTGTACGTATGATAGTCAGCAATGCTTGGCTGCGCAGAGGCCAAGCCCTCAGAGTACCGAATCGGACGCAGATCTGATGGCTTGCTAGTCTTCATGGGCCCAGTGCTCAGATGCTTTTGCTGGAATTTCCCAGCCCTGCGGCTCGTCTACGGTCAGATAAGGCCCCCACGCTTCGGGAGCGACTGTGTCGACGACTCGGCTTTCGATTTTGAGAGTTAGCCTGGACCCGTGAATGTTCTTTTTGAGGATGGGCGTGCTGGAACCTGAAGGCCACTGGCTGCAGGCAGAGCTAGCCTCTGCCAGCAGCTGGGCTGCAAGCAATGCTTTTAGGGCAGTTTGCGATCCAGTGGCACTTGCAGCCGCAGCACACCTAAATCGATGTTGTTCGCCTGATGTGATCAAAAAAGGTGGCGACATAGTGGGTCACATTCGCTTATTCTATGACGAGGAGGTCGCCGCCATGTTGTTCCACACTGCACGAAGCAGACAGCAGCTGGTTGGAACAAAAACCCTGCTAGAATCCGACACAGGGATGCACTTTCAGGTGACTGGCAGCGATGACTGATCTGTACAACATAGTGAGAAACAGAGAAGGATGGGGCAGGAAGGGTTGGGCATGGGCTAGAAAGCAGCGAGAAGATTTGACCTGGAGCCCACATCAAAGTCTACGCAGCGGTGTGCTCTGCCGTGAGAGCCGAGCATGCATTTGCTGAACGAACTAGACCATGAGATACACTCAAGTCTGCAATCACGGATGTGCGGCTGGCAGAGTTGTGGCGAGAGTAGGAAAAGCTCGAGACGGCTCGGTGCGGCCTGCAGGAGGACGCTGTCATCTCCAACTTCAAGAACATCCAGAATGTGGATTGGGGACGCTCGGATCAACATGCTGGCAATGCGCAGGTATTTGCGGTGCATTGACTGGCTTCAGTGTGGCTGCAGGAAGAGACATTGCTGCGAAGAAGGCACTGCCCGGACCTGCGATGTGCCAGAAGCCAAAAGCAATGCAAGCATGTTCAGGGTGGTGACGAAGAAATCTTGACCACAGTAGTCGGACGGTCCTGCCGGCTGGATTGATGTCTTGTGTTGCGACATGCTGCCTTCAATCTATCCAGGTGGGTGCAGGCACGGACAGCAGCTGCCATTACAGACCAGGACGAGGAGGAGAGTCCCAATCAGTCGATGAGCCGTTGTTCCTTGCACGTCCAACGGCTGTGCCCATGCTTGTAGCAACGGGAATGGCAAGGACTTCTGCTACGACGCCTTCTGCAACAAACGAGGCCCTATAATTGCTCGTATGAGATCGCACCGTATCGCACCGATCAGCGGAGCCTGTCAGGCAAGTGTCAGAGATGCCCCTGCTCTCCGCCCAGAAGTGATTTTCTGTCGTGGGGGCGTAGGCACAGATGGTGCCTACGAGGTCAGATCTTCGTCCTGTCTGAGCACCTCATGAACCAAGAGTGCTTGGCTTGGCTTGACCACAGCCGAAGTAGCCGACGTCGGCCAATGGATCCTGGCCTGAGGATGCTTTGCAGGCGCTGCGGCTGTGCTGCGATCCATCACGCCAGGGGCTTTCGGCTTGGTCCAACGCGGAGGTGCTCGTACTTGTCTGCGCCAGGCCAAAGTCGGCAAGTTCCGGTTTCACGAGGGCCAGAAAGGAAAAGACTCGGAAGATGCCAGCAGCCGGCTGCCGATTCTGGCTTTGGTAGTGGCTCGTTGCTCCTGCTGCCGCTGCAGCCAGCCATGAGGCACAGCAAGGCCCCCGCAGAAAACGCTCGCGACCCAGATCTCTTGTCACTGCTGTCATCGTTGAAGTGGGCTTGCCTGCGGGCTCGGCCCAGGGCGATGGATGAAATACCAAGCCGAAGGTGGAGCCTGGATGATGCCCCATCCTTTGGGATTGAAATCGACCTCGTGTTTGTCCGTTGCAGCAGTGGCTCCTCCTGGAATCCTAGAAATCATGTCCGGGCCAGTGAGGCCACCGCGGGCGAGGAGATCGTTGAGTTCATCATCAGGACCCCAGCTTGGCTGAGTTCCCCGTCCTCTTCGGGCTACCGCCGTCCCTTGTAGATTCCTTGTAGATTCATTGTCTCGGCTTCCACGCAGCTTTGAGGCAGCTGGAGCTGGCCAAGAACCTCTACGAGGTTCTCGGGGTGGCTCCCAGTTCTTCGGCCCTTGAGATTCGCTGACGACTCAGATGCAACACACAGTTTCAGAGACGGTAGTTCGGCCAGCAGCAAGTCGCGACAGCATACTCTTCTGCACGCGTGCGATCTCTCCTAATGAGGCCAGGCTTATCGGGCCATCTCACTCAGAGCCCGGGCCCTAAATGCCATCGCGATGTGGTAAGCAAGCCGCGCACAAGTCATCGCGGCCAATGTCAAAAAAGGTGCATCCGGACAAGATCAATGCGCAAGCGCAGAGCGAAGACGAGCCCATGGCCGAGCGTTTGTTCAGTACACGGCCAGCAAGTTCCGGCGGTTGCGCGCCGCGAAAGCCCATGCAGTCGTCGTAAGGCAGAGCCAGAGCTTGTCAGCCCTTGCAGAAGACGCATTCAAACTGGCAGCCAGCTCAGCAATGCAAGTACCTTTCTTTTCCAGTCCAAAAGGGTCCAGTGGTCAGCCAGTTTGGGTGTGACGCTCAAGCCAATGGCAAGAGAACGAGCCGTGTTTGTCACCGTGATGACTAGAACTCGGGTATAAGGGTACAGGCGCAGTGCTGGAAGTGTTTTGTCTACGCGCCAGTGGACGATGAAACGAATCGACTAGCTTGGCAAACCGACCTTCGGCCTCTGGGGAATCCCGAAACTCATGAAATGATCAATCCCCATGACTAGCTCGGCGGCAGCACGATATCCATGACCTGTGCTGGGCTGGAGGGGGGTTGCCGGGTGTGCCGCCATTATTGTGGTCGACAAAGGACTATCTGTGGTGATATGGGAGCCAGACTGTAGGCCTCCTCGGCTTATGAAGTGCTGAATGATGAGATCGAGCGAAGATCGTACGACCGCTACTCAGTGATTTGGAGTCGCAAGGATGCCAGCCGTCTCACCTTGCACGGCATTATGTGATGCCCTGCCTGAGGATCGACAGCTGTACTTGGACTGGGTGCGAACGGAGAAACCAAAGGCAAAGCCGAAACCGAAGCCAAAGGCAAGGCATGCGGCAAATGTGCTCGGGGCCCAGTTGCGGATGCAGTCCTTATGGGCATCCATGCTGAGCGACTTGTGCAGGATGTCACTAGCATCGCCTTTCTCATAGACGCTGCCCCAAGCCCAAGCCCCAGCCCTTGCCAGGCCCACTGCTGTTTGCAAGAAGCTTCGGCCCTCAGCTTCTGCTTCTGCAAGTGCTAAAAGCCATCTCGCTGGCCATGCTTGCGCAGAAAGCCATGCCTCAGATCCGTCAGAGCTTGGACAGAACACACAACCTCGAGCAGGGTGCCTGCAACACCTCCTGAACTGAACGTGGGGCGCGGGTAGACGAAAGCTCTCCAAAGCACGAGTCTGGACAACGGCAGGTAGGGGAAGCTTGGATTTTCTACGGCTGAAGTGCGCAGCACGGCACGCTCTGAGGCCTCAGCCTACGGTTCCGGCCAAGGGCCCTTGGGCCCCCGCCTGAGTCAAGGGTATCATTGTCAGCGGCGAGGCTATGGCCCATTGCGGGGGTCTTCGGCCTATTAGGTCACTGCTACTAGCGGCTACTAGCGGAGGACTCGAGGCTCCTAGTCCTAGTCGGCAGGGTAGTGTATCGTTTGGCGTGGGCTGGTAGTCGTCTCGTGGGTCAAGGCGGCGTTCTAAATTACACTGACGGTTTCGAAGCTTGGGGGCCACAGGCCGGAACATGGCATGTCACAATGCCCCTAATTGGGTTCAGATCAAGCCAGATTGAGATGAGCGAATTGGATGGTAGCACGCCGACGGAATCCAGGGGCAAAGTTGGTGTTTGAGATCCGAGAGTACAGGATGTTTCATCAAAAAACTGTGTATGCGCATGACATGTTGCAGTACGGTCTTTGTTGGTTGTGCTCCATGTTTTCAGACGTTGTAACTTGATCCTTGTGCCACTGCAGACGCTGAAATCACTATTCCGGCACGGACATGGGGATACAGCAATGAACGCATGGCGCCGGGGCGGCTTGGTTTGCCTGCAGCTGTGCGCGTTCGGCTTGGAAAGCAGCCTTGCGCTGGAACCAAGTGGCTATGCGCAGCCGCTGTTGCGAACACCGTTGCTCACAATTCCAGGACCCTGTAAGTAGAGCGTTCAACATTCGCCACAGTCGAGCAAAAGGTTGGAGCTTCGAGCATTCGGTAGTAGATGTCCGGAGCTTGGACCACATGAGTGCCGACGAGCACCAGTTCTGGAGTTTGGAGCGGAGATAAAGCTGTCACTTTTTTGCGCGCAAGCTGTAAAGCACGGCCCATAGTGTGACTTCCCTGAAATTCCTAGAATGGGCCGTAGTGGCAGCATCGCACGCTGTTGACGTTCATGGTTTCGTGTCCTGACTCCGAAGGACGCCAGCTGGCCATCCTCCTGGGCAAGACCTCCCTGGCCCGGAAGGATGCGGAGCCACTTCTGGCGAGCCGGACATGGGAGGTCCCCTCTGCCTGCACGTGTAATGAAGCGTGTGTGCGCACACGCATGTATAGTGATATAAGATAGGCATCTACGAATTATACTGTACAACTTTCATACAGCCAAAAAGGGCAAGGACATGTCACGCGCACGCACGCCAGCGGGCACAGAGGCGTGGTATATGTATGCCTAGATACACCCTGTGTGTGTGAGAGTGCATGTGTTCGTGTGTATGTAGATGCACACAGACCCGAAACCCCCAGACGAAGGTCCCCGTTACCAGGGCGTCAACTTACGGTACGCATGTGCACGTATGTGCATGTGATTGCACGTGCGCATGCACGTCATTCGTATTTGTGTCCGCATGGACAGAGCCTGCAAGGCCTTGCGCGAGGGACGTGACCCTTTCCAGCCGGAAGGCTCGTCAAAGCGCTTGCAGCGGATGCTCGCTGAGCTTGCCTTGACCATGGAGCCCGTGGCAGCGCCCCATGTGGAGAGCACGGAGAGCAGCGACAGCACCTGTAAAATGCTCCTTCGCCTTGAAGATGATCTGTCAGTTGAGTGCGTCCTCATACGGATGGCCAAGCATTCCAGTCTCTGTGTCTCGAGCCAGGTAGGCTGCAAGCAGGCATGCGTTTTCTGTGCAACAGGTAAGCTTGGCGAGGTCCGGAATCTAACCACACACGAAATCCTCGCACAAGTTTGGCTGGCCCAGCGTCAGGCCCGGGCTCTCGACTGGCCGAAAGTACGAAATCTTGTGTTCATGGGCATGGGCGAGCCTACCAACAACTTGGATTCAGTGTCTAGAGCGCTCGAGCTACTCACTGACAACACCAGCTTTCACATGTCGCGTTGGTACATCACAGTATCAACGGTTGCACCTTCTCCGGCCCAGATTCTGAGTCTCTCTGAGCTGCCATGCAAGTTGGCGTGGTCGGTGCATGCAGCAACGGACGTCTTGCGCCGTAAACTGGTGCCAAGCAGCAAGTATCCGCTGGCTGATCTGCGAGATGCCTTCTTGAAGTGCTTGCTGCTACGTCCGGAGAGGTTCAGACAACTGATTTGTGAAGTCGTGCTGCTGGACGAGGTCAACACCGATCAAGGCCATGCCAAAGCACTTTCGGAACTATTGTCCCCCTTTGAAAGGGAAGAACTGCTCGTGAATTTGATCCCCTACAACGACATTCATGGACTGGTAGCGCGTGGTGCCGCAATGGACGTGCAGACTGCCCAGCTCAGGGCGCCGACTCTGGACACTGTCCGCAGCTTTCAGCGCTCGCTTTGGCAGGATGGTCTGTACTGCTCAGTTCGACAAACCCGTGGAGAATCCAAAGCCTCAGCTTGCGGCCAGCTGGCTACCGTTGCCGGGCTTGCAGCACTTACGAGCGCAAAATGCAGCAGGCGCTGAATTCGAATTCTAAGGATTCTAAGGGTGTCAGACCGTTCTGCTTAGCCGGCTTAGCCTGGCCTTCCGACTTAAGCCTAGGACACTGAAGGCGAAGACGGCAGAGATCCAGGCCAGAGGGTTTGCCGATCGAAGAACATCTCATTCCGCGTGCTTGTGCAGGAGACTTGCTGAACATCGATTGTTACGATTCTTATGTTGCCCGTGCATCTTAGTTTCGAACCTTTTCTTGAGTTTGTGTTTTCCTGGGTCCGTACAGATGTTTTTGGATGGTTATATAGCAGTCGCCTGCATACAAGCAAAGATATGTAAGTGCGCCGTTGAGGTGTTCGTTAAGTACGATAAAGTACCTTAGTATCTTGCAAATTGCAGCTCGCAGCAGTGTGCAGGGGCCGACTCGCGGCAGCTGCTTGCGCGACGGTTTTGCAATCAGCTACTATAGCTACCAGTACTTTCAGATTCTAGTAGATGAATGATGAATTGTGACCAGTGCCGTAGTACGGTGGCCGGGGCCGGGGCAAAGAAACTCTAATGGACTCCGCCGTGCAGGCAGGCGGGTGGATGAGTTCTTCAAGCCGTCTCCCCAGTTGTTCTTGTGTGTGAGGTTTCAGGCAGGTGTGCTAGAACTGGCCGGAAATGCGAATGGCTGGTGATTGTCACAGCCGTTTGAGGAATCCGACCATTGGTACCTTCATGAACTCTCCCTACTACGGTGAGGACGGCGTGTGCGCGTCTTAAGGCTCCTGGAAGTCATCCCAGGCGCTCAAACCGTTCATCCCCTGACTGCCTGATCGGTCGCATAAGGTTTGGTAGCAGCGGGACGATCAAAGAGAATCCTGCGGGCGGGTTCAGCTTTGAGCTTCCCGGTGGCGGTGGCATTCATATTGACAACGGAAATGGCGCCTTGTCGACATTGACATGTTCTGTTGACAATGGCTGACGGTCTGCTGAGTGACAAAGGGTCGGTTAGTAGATCATAGTAGATCAGCTTGCACCAAGGCTATCAGCGACGCCGTGGTCTCAGCTTCCAAGCAACCGCGTGGTGCCTGCAGTGCCCGAGGCGTTCAGTGTGTGTGCCAGATACTTGCCTCACCTAGTCAAGCAGATGGAGGAGGACTTTGCAAAGACCGGCCATGTCCCGCTACGCCCTCGGAAGACGGGCTCCGTGATCGGCAAATCACGCACCGTGAAACCGGCTGTGCAGGCTTAAGCCACTTCAGCACTGTGTAACTACCATCCACCGCGTTCCCAAAATGAGCATCCAATGCTGACGAAATCGTACCAACAGCCGGCGAAACATTAGGTCAGAGGTTGGAGCCTGTGAAAGACTGCAAACTTGCTTCCCGGATAGTCTTCTACCTCGGAGTCAACAACTGCCTTCAAGCTGGAATATGGCTGCCCTTCCGAAAAGCCACAAAGCAATGTTTAGTTAGCCACATGAAGCTACTCCGCCGAACTCAACTGTTTTTTCCGACTGTACAATGCGGGTCCTAGCTCAGTGGGAGGCAAGACATTAGGTCAGAGCTCCGGGTGCAAAAGGTTCAAATTCTTGATTGGATGGATTTGGCTTTGGCCCAATGACCGGATGGCATGGCTCAGAAGATGCAGCGAACACCTTCTACCAGTAGGGCGTGTGCAACAGGTAAAGTTGATGCGTGCCGGAGCGGTGGGTGAATGTTTTGTTGCAGGCCGCATCTGTGGCCGCAGTCTCTTCTTCCACAGGCGGAAGGGTGCACCGCAGAGACAAGCGCAGAGACAAGCTGCCTTTGAGTTGCGGAGGATTCAGGACAGGTTCGGTTGTCAAAGCACGAGCAGGCAGTCGGTCAGGCTTTTTTCCCACCTGCCTTTTCAGTCAAGAACACCTGTGGAGCAGCACAGGCTGCTCAGGAATCCTCGGAGGTGTCCTGCTTCGGCATGGAACATTCTACATTTCTGCATCCTCCCAGCCATGCCATCTTACCGGCGACCACATTCAGCCAACCAACTCCACTTCCACGATGGGTCATGGATCTTAAGATACATTCGAGATTTCTCAGCAGAGTCGTTTCACTCGTCAGCAAGTACTTGCCATGTCGTGGCTTGGGCGCGGCCGCCCGCCACGAAAATCAGTGGGTGGTCATGAGAACTCCCTGCGAGATGCCATGAGGCTTTCCGCGGGTGTGGTTCTTTCTCACGGGTCCATTGGTGCAGTTGTTCGAGAAAATCTTGTGAGTCGAGCTAGGGAGGTCCAGATTGCTGTGACCAACCAGATCTCAATACCGTGCGATGCCGTTGGAACGCGACATCATGCGAGTAGTTTAGCCTTCCTGTCAGCCGCTGCTGCCGGGCTTTCGCAGTCCCTGCTGGTAGGTCTCGTGGTGGAATTACAATCAGGCCTCCGACTGCACCCACTGACATCGAGGACATGAGCGTTTCATCGGATAGGAGTGTGACGCCGTTAGATAACGGTTCACGGCTTCTGCGCTGCGAGGATAATGAACCAGTGCCAGAGAAAAGCACGCTGGACTGGCTCAATCTCAACGCGCTTGCGCCCAAAGCCATCCAGGGAGCAATTGACAGAATTCGGCACAACACCCTGGCAAGCAGTGGCGATGCCGAGGTGCCCAAGCGTGTTGAATCCGGTTTGGCATGTTTGTTGGGCAAGCCGGCCTGTGTGTCTTGCTCGGCGCAGCATAGGTCCCGAAAGAGATGGACGGGGAGTTGCTGACATCTCCCCGTGGCAAGGGCACTGACCAGTCGGCCGGTATCTTGGCGCTTGTTGGCCGATAAACCGCTTGAAGCAGAAGAGGCTGAACAAATTGTAAAAAAATTGCACATTTGGAAGAAGCTGAGTGCTAGCTGCTAGCATTGGTTTCCGGCATCAGGTTCCATGGGCTATGCCCGGCCCGCGCGCAAGTCCCTGAGCTCGGCCCTTCGGGCTCGTGGTGGCATCTCCCGTGGAGTGGCCGGGACGGAGTCTGATCCGGCCGAAGGGCCCGACGCGGATGCGCCGGACGTGCCCGAACCGTCCTGGCCCGAAGTTCCTCTTGATGAGGCCGAGGACACACCGGTTGAAGCCGCAGCGCCCGTGCCCGAGGAGGCGGAGGAGGCAGTGCCGGAGGAGCCGCAGCCTTCGGAAAGTCCTGAGGCTGCATTCGCGCAGCCTACCGCAGACCGAACGGCATCAGCGCCCCTTCCCGTCTTGCACGAGGAAGAGGAGGAGGAATCGACTATAGCTGCAGCCATGCCAGTGCAAGTGGAGCAGCCTGATGAACGGGCTGCTCCAGATGCGCTTGATGGACTTGCAGAGGCTGAGGAACTCCCGAACCAGGAGGAACTCCCGGACAGGCAGGAAGTGCCAGCGGAGCTTCTGGACTGAACACAACATGCAGCATTTGTTTTTTCTCCGTCTCTCTCTCTTTCTCTGTCTCTTTGTCTCTCTCTCGCTCTCTCTCTTCCCTTCTTCTCCCAGGCATAAGGGGCCATCCAGGCCCCCCGGGCATTTAGCCCACCCGCTGTTAGTCTCTCTCTCTCTCTCTCTGTCTTTCTCTCTGCGTCTCCCTCTCTCTCTCTCTCGTTCTTTCTCTTTCTCTGTCTCTTTCTCTTGCTCCCTCTCTCTGTCCCTCTCTCTCTCTCTGCCTCTCTCTCTCTCTCTCTCTCTCTCTCTCTCTGTCTCTCTTATATATATACATATATATATATATAACA